TTGGAATAACAGCTAGCGTTACCTACAATTGTTAGTGTTCATCTTAGTTGGTAAACTACATAATTAGAAATACACTGAATGATACTTACTTTGACCAAAAAATTTACTTCAAGTTGTATCATAATACAGTTTTAAGAGGGGCATCTACGGTATAGTAACTTCTATTTTTATTTGTCTGCTATTGACTTAAAGGTAGCCTGGGTACCATCTGGATTTTGGCTCCGCATATGATTCTTTCGAGCGTAACAATGCGGAGCCAAAATCCGGATGGTATCCAGGCTAACTAAAAGGGGCATGGTTATTTGAACGGTGCCATACAAGGGTTTTATGATGAAGTCCATCTTTGGTAGAATATTTATTAACAGGTTCGGTCGTCAAATAAGAAGAGGCCCCTTTTTCAGGACAAGCCTGGAATCGGAACCCATCAAGACCTCCCAGCGAGACTCTTAAACTATTAATCATCTATTGTCGTGCTGTTTTCGTACTAGTTATCGATGTACAACAGACAAGCTGGGAACAATGGATTTTAAGCTAAAAACAAACTCATGATATCATCTTTCAAGTCAGTAGTTGTTTTAGATTACTGGAGGACTGTACGCTCAAACCGCCGCCTGAGAAGTGCGCCGACTTTGGAGGAATGTACGCTCAAAACCGGAGGAACGTCCGCTCACCTGGAGGAGTGTACGCTCAAACCGCCGCCTGAGAAGTGTGCCGATTTCGGAGGAATGTACGCTCAAAACCGGAGGAACGTCCTCTCACCTGGAGGAGTGTACGCTCAAACCGCCGCCTGAGAAGTGCGCCGACTTTGGAGGAATGTACGCTCAAAACCGGAGGAACGTCCGCTCACCTGGAGGAGTGTACGCTCAAACCGCCGCCTGAGAAGTGTGCCGATTTCGGAGGAATGTACGCTCAAAACCGGAGGAACGTCCTCTCACCTGGAGGAGTGTACGCTCAAACCGCCGACTGAAGTGCGCCGCCTTTTCATCTCTTCGAATAGTTTGGAATCAAGGATCCAACCATTTTTTTTGAGGAGAGAAGATATCACCAGCGAAGGAAGGCGTCCGGCGAGTTTATCCAAGTTTAAATTTTGAGCGGCCGATGTTTTTTTTCGACTGATCCGAGCGAGGTGACACTCATAGAAAGAGATGGCGTCTGAAGAAGTGTCACAGCAAGATAAGACAGGGATGGGTGAGATTCAAGACTCTCAGGTGGCCTTAGAGATGCTGACAAGACGTCTACAAGAAGAAGAGGACAGGTGGAAGGAGAAAACTTTCGCACATTGTTGTCACCTGCACAGGTAAGGGATACTATATATACAGTGTGTCGCGAAAGTACGAAAGTTTTAGCTTCTACCAGGTTTCGGGAGGCGGCTGGAAAGAGTAGAAATTGGCCAAATAGAGAGATAACATGCCAGGGGTGCGACAAAATGTACTCTCTAGCGGACCAACTTCCCAGCAGGTTATCTATCTATTTGGCCAATTTGCAGTACTCTTTCCAGCTGCCTCCCGAGGCCTGGCAGAGGCTACGAAAGTTTGATATGTTGTCTCTTTTCTAGCTCCATGGTTGTACAGAGTTGAGCACAAATTTTCAACCAGAATAGGTGTATAGTTCAGGTTACATACGATGCACCTACGATGTTTTTTTTGGCGACGGTATCACGCGTGAGGGTTACGTTGTTCCTATGGAATAACATACAGCTACGAACCTACAATTGTTACTATGAAAGTTCATTTTCGTTGGTAGATCTAAACTGAGAAAATGAGAAATAAATAAATAATGGTGTAGGGTTGACTCAACTTACTTTAAACTTTGACCAGAAAATGTACTTCAAGTTGTATCATCCTAACTAAGTTACATAATACAGCTATAAGAGGGCTATCTATATCTACGTATAGTAACTTCTATTTTTATTTGTTTGCCATGGACTAAAAGGGACATAGTGGTTTTAACGGTGCCATACAAGGGTTTTTATCACCTTCCCTCCACGAGGGCCTCCATGGGGGTCCCTGCAACGCTCTACGCTAAATTTTGAGAGCCGGCCGGTTACGTATTACGCTGAATTATAGAAGCGTCCCCATTACGTTTTAGGACAAATTCCAGGTAGCTACAACGCACTACGTAGAATTAAAACGGCGAATTACGTTCTACACAAAATGCGCCAATTACGCTCTACATAGAATTAAAACGGTCGCTTACGCTCTACGGAAAAGGACATGCGGGCCTGTTTATAGAATATTTATAGACAACAGGTTCGGTCGTCAAATACGAAGAGGCCCCTTTTTAAGGACAAGCCTAGAACCCGAACCTGTTAAGACCTCCCAGCGAGACTCTTAAACCTATTAATCATCTGTCACCATACTGTTTTCTTACTCCTTTTTGCACTACAACAGACGTACTGGTAACAATGGATTTAAAGCTTAACTCAATATATCATCTTTAAAGTTTAACTTAATAGTTTTGACGTGTTGGAAAGAACACTAACTTTGAATGTAGTCAATTCTGTTGGATGAAAGCTGGTTTCTATTGGAATATAACCAAGTATAACAGTTATCAGTTATGCTGTCATCGCTTGCATCGTGATATTGTCATGTCGACATATGAAAAAATAATTTGGAGGAATGTCATTTCTTTACAATCAAATCATATTTTTTTCTAAATTGGCATCTATGTGTTTCTAGCACTATTAATTGGGCGTACTGGCTGTGATTATTTCCAAGTAATGGTCAGAAGTTGACATGTTTTGGCATATAACGTTACATGTCGTGAGCCCCTAGCTGTACAGAAGAGCCGCTAGGCGAGAGTTTTAGTATTGCAACAACATTGGCATGTCATACTTGCTCATAGTTATCCTCAGTAGCTCCATCACGTTCGAGTTGCTTCTCGTATTTCAAGTGCTACATATGTTAGAACTAAACATGAATTGTCACTCTCCCAAACTTTTGTGATCATATATACCCATTTATATCATATAGCGCAAGGGTCCCCCCCCCGCCAACATATTGGAACAGTCCTTTGATTGTTTACCAGAAACAGCTGTTTAGTAAGGTCTTGAGGTCTTGGAGTAGGAAAGTGTGGTCAAGAAATTTGGGTTTGTTAAAGTGTAAGTGGGGAAAATAAGGGGTCAGGGGGTGGGGGGCAACTTGGAGGGGGTGAGTATCAAACAAATGAGGGGGTTGAAACGGGAGGGGGTAGTGGTAGGGGGCTACAAAATAGGAAGGGAAGGAGTAAATTGTGGAAGGGGGGGGGGCAAAGGATGAGCTGCTATTATATAATATTATATCAATTTTGAGAAATGCATTAGGCAGTTTTTGTGTCTTCAGAATTTAAAATCATAATCATAGTCCCAAACTCACCTGCATAAACCCCTTAAATTGATGATAAGCCTTTTATAATTAATGATATACCTATTGCACTTGAGTAATATTAAATAGATCTCTTGTAATGTCATACATGTATTTGTGTATGTATGTATATGTAGCTATAACATTCTATATTACATAACAGAACTAGTATGTGACCTTTTGCATTTTCCTTCGCTACGTTCTGGTATACTGGAACCAAATGGTTCAGGTTTCATCCTAAGAAAGGCTCCGACACTGTGATTAATTACTGAAGAACAAAGCAAGCCTCTAACGTTTCCTCTGGAACAAAAGCACACAGGTGGCAACACAGGCGACCACAACTATTGACGCCTCTACTTCTGTTTTCTCAGGTTACAACATGAAAACCTCAAGAAGCAAGGCACGGTGGCGAGAGGAGTCTCTGTGGAGAAACCTGGGCCTTGTGAGTATTTCTTCTCCTTCTTTATTCTTCATAAGGACTGCAAGAGAGTTTTTAGACTCCAGCACATCTTTGGTTACTGAGGAAAGTTCTAGAAGTTGGCCAAGTTGGATAAGTTATTTGTGACAGAAGTTAGCAGCCGGAAACAGAGAAACCTGGGCCTTGTGAGTATTTCTTCTCCTTCTTTATTCTTCATAAGGACTACAAGAGAGTTTTTAGACTCTAGCACATATTTGGTTGCTGAGAAAAGCTCTAGAAGTTGACCTAGTCACTAAGTTATTTGTGATAGAAGTTAGCAGCCGGAAACAGAGAACAGTCAAAACTACTCAGAAAGACCACGTAGGGGACTGATAAAATCTGGTTCAGTGTGGACAGGTGGTCACTACACTCTATAGACAGGATTCTTAATGCTAATATGTCTGTGGGAAAAATTAAGGGACTACCAAGAAGTGGTCACATTGGCTACGTGGTTCTTGTGTAACTCAAACAGGTGGTCACTTATGTACTGGTTTGTCACTGTATTCTATTTACTTATTCTATGCCTCGCTCGCAAATTATTCATCGTATTTGGGCAATTTGGATTATTTTGGATACATTAATTGATTCTGAAGCTTATAATGTTCTCCTGATATACAACTTAAAACTGAATGAATTATAGCATATTATGTACAGGTCCTTTAATTAATATCTAAGGGTGTGCCCTGTTTTAGAACTTCATGCTTATAAAGAGTGTAATAGAAAGGAGTTAAATCAAGATGATTTTGTAACATGTTGCTTTTCAGTTCCAGCCTACATTGAGGTCTTGCACGCCGCATGCAACAGTACCGTCACACCGACAGTCCGGTTCCGTATCACCCGTGAACTACGCGCAGCAAACCTGCTAGACTTCGCCCAGTACGTCTACTCTTCCTACCTCTGCCTTGACTTGGCCTCTCTCAGTCTCTCCTCCAAGAAGTTAAACAAAGTCTTCAACACGAAAACCAAGCATGTTTTGATGGGAGAAGCTTTGAAGGATTTTACTACTATCGGAGGAACTCATCATCCAGTCTTTCATATGAGCGTCGATGGGAAAGAAAAGACTCAGCAACAATCACCACTCGGACAGTCTAAAGGCTTGAAGATGAGTCAGAAGGAGGCCTTGTGCGTTGAGGGCGATATTCAGCGTATTAACGGGAGCCTTCCTGAAGCCGTGTCGTGCTACTGTAGAGCGTACGAAGAGGATCCGCTGTACGTCATCGATCACCTCAAGTCGCTGCCGCAAGAGTCGCTGGAAAGCGTGGTGGAGTTGGTCGACTTCTGGGGGCGAAGTTCGGCCGAAGCGGCGGAGCAGAGAGAAGAGTATGGGATCTCGCTCACCCCTGAGCAGCTGACATCCTTCATTCTGTCCTGTCCTGCCAGCTTGATTGGGTCTTCAAGCTGTGCCCGGATATCCCAACTTTTCAAGGAGAAGAAGTACCAAGAAGTGATCGAGAAGTGCTCGGCTATCCTTGAGCACCAACCTGCCAAACCAGTCCGTCTGTACCTCGATCGCGGTCTCGCTGCTCTACTGGCAAGAAAAAGGGACCGAGTTGTGGCTGCGGACTTTATAAAGGCCTTCCAAGAGGACGAGAATGAACTGAAAGAGTACATGCTAGCGCAGAAGCAGCATTTACCTAGAGTGTTGAAAGTCTTACACAGGTGTGCGAGCTTGGACCAGCCGAAGAGAGCCACTAGTGCTGAAGACATCAACAAATGGCAGTCTTTTGTCATAGATTGTGGCAAAATAATCCTTTTGTTTGATCCGTACGATGGTAAGACAATGACACGCTCTGCTACACTACTAGCAGACCTTGGTGACTTCAGCGGAGCTACAGAAATGTGGACAAACATGCTAAAGTTGCTACGAAGTCAGGAAACCCCGTCTAAAGGCCCCATGATTGACACTCTTGTAGCGCGAGCGTTGTGTCACTACCAGTTGGGCAAGCTAGATTACGCAACCACCGACCTAATCGCTGCCGTCAACATCGATCCAGATGCAGCAAAAACTGAAATGATGAAAGACTTTGCAAAAGAGCAACTGAAAGAAATCGTGAACTATGTCGTAGGGCTTGCACGAAAGATGAGCGTTGGCGTGAGAAAGGAGAGTCAGGCAGAGGAGAGTAATGAGATGGGTGACCAGGTACGAGCTGCGCTACAGTTGTACAAACTTGTCCTAGCACTACAGCCAAACAACAGGAAGGTACTGCACGCGTGTGCGGAGTGCCACACGTTTTTAGGCGAGCACCAGGAAGCCGCGGACATCTACGCGACCATGTTACAGAACGACACGAGAACGGACACCTCCACATTATGCTCCCGAGCGCTTTCCAACCTAAAAGCAGGACATCTCGACATCGCCATGTCAGATTTAAACATCGCCTTTGACAGAAATCCATCGTGTATCGACGCACTCTGTGCTCGGGCCTACTTCTTCAAACTGAAGAGACAAGAAGACGACTTGATTAAAGATGTCTTGAATGCAAGTCTTGTGTCTGTAAAAGACACAGCAGTAAGTTTGAGGAAAGTCCCTGTTCCTGACCAAGGAGACTTGAAGAAAATCATCATCAAAGGCTGCCAACGTCTTCTACAAGCTGATAAAGAAGGTACTACTGGTGAAGTAGCTGGATTATCTGGGAAGCGGTAAGAAAAAAATTTTCTAATACCTGTCGTAAACTTTCCAGAATTATTGAATGTGTACTTCATCTTCTATAGCTTTTTTTAAAACAGTGATTTGTTTTATCAAAAATTGTTTTGTAGACGAAAAGTTGTTTTCATTGCATAATTTTTTGTAATGGTAGAATGTTCAGTGATTGCTTGGTTTTATTATTGTTTTAATGATGTTACTGTAATGTCACCTCCAACTTATAGCCTGAATGTTCATCTATGTTGGTAGAAGTCATTCTGCAACAGTTTTAAACTCACTCACTATTTGTGTTGGAAATTACATTTCAAACGTACATTGTCCACCAAGTACATTATCCATGTACTTTTGCATTATCCTACTGACTACTACTGTTGGCTTGGCTGATCATAACCTCCTGTAAATGTGCACATGTGTAGGGAGAAGACAGAGGCTGTCCTCCGGTTGACAGAGCTGCTCCAGTTGTTGAGTCCAGGGACAGAAGGAGTCCACCTGTTGCGAGCTCATGCTCACATGGAGCTGGGGAACCAGCAGGAAGCCCAGCGGATACTACTGGACAAGGTGAAGTCCAACCCACAGGACCCTGTGTCCAGTGTTCACCTGGCAATGCTGAGGCTAAGACTGGGGAAAGTGCAGGAAGCTGTGCAGGTACTAAAAACACATTTGATGTAATAATAACTTAAAGTTAATTGTCCAATGTCAGCTAACCTTGGTGTGAGTGCTTTTAATGCTGTGCTTTGTGTAGAGCTGTTTACTTAAACAAGTTTTTTGTATAGGTATAGGTACAGGTAATGCCAACCTGTATGTACACCTAAACAGGCTTGGCCTGTTTCAGAAGTTATATGTGCAGTTTTACTGTCTTCAAGGGTTAGTTAAACTTTAAAAATCACATCTAACATCCGTGTCCATAATATCACCAGGGTCCGTAATATCCCCACCTTGAGAAATAGTGTGCTTAAGATATTTTTACTGCAACATACTTTTGGCATGCACTCCTGCACACCTCATAGGTACATACCTAGGGTATGTTGCAGTAAAAATATCTTTAAGCACACTTTCTCTCAAGGTGGCAATATTATGGACTATGGTGATATTATGGACACAGATGTTAAAAACAAGAGACAGTATTCACACTATTTTTAAGTGCCAAATTATCAAAAGTGCCATCTTTGAGATGCTATTTACCTTCCGTTTAATAAATGGTCCTCTAGTGTTTTATTTTGTTCAGGTTAGGTAATGCTACACCAGATGTTCAGGTCTGGGCCTGTATCTATGGTTTTTCAGGTTAATGTTTTAAGTACAGTCAGCCTAGGTAAGTGCTGATATAATGTATAGAATGAAATACAGCCAAAGACTCTAACACATATAACATTAAACTGTGTTGTTTCTGTCAGGGATGTATCAGTGTTCTGGAGACCCATGGAGAAGCCGTGTTCCACACAGCCCTGGTGGATGTACCACAGGAGGACAGACTGGTGTTACTGAGGAGCTCCCAACAATACGGCTTCAGCCTGGTACAACAGAGTCACGAACCTGCTGTCATTAACACTGCCATCAGCGCATTCACCATCGCAACACTCGCATCAGGTTTGTTTGTTTGTTTGCAGGATTGTGTTGGGCCGTCAGTACACCTCATACCAGGAAGCCTTGAGAACTTTGGAGCTTGAAACTCTTTCTGACCGCAGATACAATCTTTGCCTGAACTTTGCCAAAAAGGTTAGACAGTCGCCCCGCTTCTGCTGCTGGCTTCCTCCGACGCGGGGAGATCTGCACGGTCGACAGCTGAGGAACTCGCTCCAGTACTCTCAGGCCAGAGGGACCAAAAGATACACGACCAGCGCGAAGCCAATGTTGGCTAGACTCCTCAATGGACTGTAAAACTGAACTGTTGTGAACCGTTTTGATCCGAGAGCAGCCTCACCTGTAATGATTCCTCACAATAACGCTTTTTAATTGCCTTGATGTTGAACCACTACGTTATATTTATAGTATGTAAAACCATGTTGACAACATTAAGCGTTCCTTGTATATACTTGTATATGTATATTAAATACTGTGTTAGTTTTATTGAGTATGTGGAATGTAAAATTCGGCGCAATTCAGTGTATACTGCAAAGCCGACTTGTCCCGTGTTTTATCAATAAACCATTTATCACATGTACTATATAGTATTGCTAGGACCATTGAATGGTGACCAGTTACATGAAAAAGTCACTGGCTGTGTGTAACCTAAAAGGCGTTGACCTCTTTTCTTTCGTAACAGAAACAACGAACACCACATCCCTGATGGCTCGTGCGGAGTGCCACGCCCACCTCAGGAGTTACCAGGCCGCGGCACAGGACTACACCAGCGTGATCCATGCCCAGACTGAATGTAGCACCGCGTTGTGCGCCCGGGGATGCATGAACATTGTCATGAACAAGCAGAAGGTCGGTGAAGAAATTTCTTGTTCAAAACCCTATAACGCTCAGTGTTAAACAATCACACAAGTTTAATCAATGGACTTTCTATCTGTTTTTCATTTGTAAGTGTGTTTGCTAGTTCAAGTGTAGAAATTTGGTGTCTAAGATTTTCAATCTATCCATAAATCTGCAATCTTCCAACTTTTAAAATCTAAACTTGTTTTTGTTGGTTTGGCTGTTCAACCCTCACAGCCAGGACAGCCCAACTAGCCAGTGGCTATTACAAAGGGCTTCTAAACTTGTGAACATACAAATTTGTTTGTTGTGAAAAAAAATCTGTGATCATTGTCTTTGTAGGAGGCGGTAGAAGACTTCCTAGCGGCGCTTCGCAAAGACTCGGAGGCAGCCCGGACACAAATCTTACTCTTACAACAACAAATGCGCCTGTTACTACTGTACTGGCTACACCTACACGCTACAAACGCCATGTCCGGAGGTACAACCCAAGGTCTGGAGGATGCAGTGTTGATCGGACGTTTACTCATCTCCATCAACGCTGATGTCGCAGCATGGCAACTGCTGTATTCAGATGCTCTTATCATACAAGGTACATTTTTTTATGTCTCTTGGCACATATGAGAAAGAGTGTGGGAAGGTCAAACACACAGCACCACCAGCGGACTAGCCCCCTGCTGTAGTGCATTGCACAATTGTGTGTCGTCCAAGGGCTACGGAAATGGAGATGGGCACCACCCTACGCTCTGCATAGAGCACGGGAGACCTTCTTCTTCTTGGCACATCACACTATCATGGTGGTTTTGCTTTTCTGTCTCCTTTTTGTGTACAGTAACTTGATTATGATTTATTGTGATCTTCTTCCAAACTCTTTCAATTCAAAGTACAGTCAAACCTTGGTGAAGAGTTTTGAAAGTTGTCCTTACAGTAAATAGGTGGCTACTTTAGACAGGATTCTTAATGATTGGATCAATGGAAAAAAAACAATTGTAATTTGAGTGGCCACAAAAAATTTGCACATTTTGATGAATGTGAACTAAGTAGAAAACATTGATAAAATGTACTAAAATGTGTAAAATTCCTTGGATTTTCTTGCAGGTGATTTGGACCAGGTCTTTCTCCACCTGAATTGTGTGCTCCTAAAAATGTGTAAAATTCCTTGGATTTTCTTGCAGGTGATTTGGACCAGGCGTTTCTGCACCTGAATCGTGTGCTGCAGCTGACACCTGAAGACCGGTCAGTCCTGGCGCGAAGAGGACTCATCTACGTGAAGAAGGGAAACTACCAGCTGGCTGCATCAGAACTCAGTCCACTGGCCGAGCTGGACACTGAAGGCCTGGAGTTTGTCCTGAAGGCTTTAGATGCTGACCAGAGGGACTCCTTGGTCAAGGTATGGACTTACCTTAACCTTCAGCCTGGTAAGGTTGCTGTTTGGCACCAAATTTGTATTGCTTAAAATTTCAGCATTTCACAAGAATTTATCTGTGCTTGGTGCTGAACACTATCCAATCAGGAGAATGTATCTGTCCTTGGTGCTGAACACTGTCCAATCATGAGAATGTATCTGTCCTTGGTGCTGAACACTATCCAATCACGACAATGTATCTGTCCTTGGTGTTGAACACTATCCAATCAGGAGAATGTATCTGTCCTTGGTGCTGAACACTGTCCAATCATGACAATGTATCTGTCCTTGGTGCTGAACTCTATCCAATCACAAGAATGTATCTGTACTTGGTGCTGAACAATATCCAATCAGGAGTCAGAATGTATCTGTCCTTGGTGCTGAACACCATCCAATCACAAAATGTATCTGTCTTTGGTGCTAAACTCCACCTACACATAACAACAGACTATAAGAACAGTTCTTAATTCTAAAAATAAAATCACACAGTAAAGTACATGTACAGTACATAGCTATTGAAGTTATATTTGAATTGAAAGTAACACATAACTGTCATTTGAACATTCAGGTATCCCTGAAGAAGGCTGAAGTGCTGACGGGACTGAACGATCATGAGCAGGCTCTCTGTTACCTGACACTCGCAGTGGCAGCATCACAGAGCTCCGATGCAGACGTTCTACGCCAGCGTACAAAATGTTTGAGTCGCCTGCAACAGTATGACCAGGCTTTGCAAGACATCAACCTTGTCATAAAAATGAACAACGCAAACAAAAATGCATCTCAGGTAACATTAAGCCTTATCTCTATACCAAAATATATGATCATAATATATAATACTATAATATATAATATTATTACATATATGTACAAGCCATTCTTTTGTTGTGACCTGTACTTAACCCAATGAGTATGAATAAAGGTCTTCATACTCTCCAAGCAGAGGTTTGGGTTTTGGGTTATTTTTAGCATGTTTTTAGGTTTTTTTATCAGAATTTTTCTTTTGCACTGAATTTTTTTTCCCACCAAACCCAAAAAAATTCAGTGCAAAAGAGAAACCCCGATAAAAAAGCCTAAAAACACACTAAAAATAACCCAAAACCCAAACCTCTGCTTGGAGAGTACTTCATTCAATTCAATTCAATTTGATTCAGTTCAGTTCAATAAGAAACATGTTTAATTGTGTGATTTTGATCCTGATTGACACAGGTCAGTGACTACTGTTGGCGGGGTTATATCAACCTTCTTCGGAACAAGGAACACCCTGCAGTAGTGGACTATGTGCTGGCGTTCAAAACTGACCGACAAAAGACGGTCAGTTTGGTAACGTCCCGTCCAGGGAAGACCACTCTTGCTCAGGTGTTTCACAGGTAGGTAGATGCAGAGTCTTCAAATTAGACACTGAAAGATATACTACAAATTCTCTATTATGATATACATGTATATATATATATACAGTATCCATGGCTCAAAATACTTTTTACTGCACTGGTTCAGGTAACATCAGGTAAAATTACCTGTACTAGACCAATTTTACCTGCACTACTACTAAAACTTTGACAAGTTTTGGTCATACTAAAAAATGTTCAGGAGTAGTCCCTTAGATAATTTTGCCATTGACATGAGCATTAAGAATCCTGTCTATAGTGACCACCTGTCCACATAGACCAGATTTTAGTCCCCAGAGTGGTCTTGGGCAGTTTTCACTGTAACTTTCTTTTTGACTTAAAAGACTGATTGATTCTTTCTTTTTTATTTTCAGATATGCAGAGCACCAGTATACAAAAGGAAAAACAGAGGACACCATTGCTGTTTGTCAGTTGGGGCTACTTCTGGATGGAACCAATGAAAACCTGCGCAGTTTGAAAATGAAGGCCACAAAGGATCAGGCACACACTCAGTGTACTATTCTGTAACAGTCTGTAGGGCTTGAAATACTGGGTGGGTGCACCAAAAATTGAAGCCGTAGTATACAGCATATTCTGGACATTCTGTCAGAAGGTTTTTCTGACAATCTACTACATTTTGTTGTACATTTTGGTGCAACCAACAATTTTTTGTGCACCCAATTTTTGGGTGCACCAGTGCATCAGTTATTTCATTTTAATTTTATCACATAGATTTTTATCACATAGATTTGTAAGCATTGGACAGAAAGCACATAATGTGCTTACAAGGATCCTTTGCTCATTTGTTCCAAAACATTTCGAGCCCTGGTCAAGCAATCACAGAATCTTGTTGCAAAGCAGCTTAGGTCCAGTTAAGTTTGCTTTGGCTTAGACAATCCTATATACTTATGCTCTGAGAATAGTATCACACAATATTGCATAATTTCGAAAAGCAATCTGTATATATTATGTATGCATATCCTCCATGTTGAATTTCTGTGTATCAAGGATATGGATGCTTGTTTTGTTTTCAGTTGAATAGGGTGTACTTTTAGGAATGCTTTTTTTTGCTTGCTTGTTTTGTAAATATAAATGAAGGCCACACCAAAATTTGGTGTGTTATTTGCCACCAAATTTTTAGGAAAAATGTCTGCTCCAATATGTAGAGTGGTTCGATGACACTCTTTTGTGACCACACTATCAGCTTTGTGACACTGATAGTACTTCATTCAACCGCTATGAATGTTGAATAAACTTCAGAATATTTTGTCCCAGAAATTGTTGCTTTCTTAAGACTTACCATGTTGACATGCACAGTTGCACACACATATCCACTGATCCTTTAGTGGCAACACAAAAGAGGCACCAGTGTCCACCATGATTTCTACAAATTTGCGGAAGCAGATAGTAGGGTCAGATTAGTACCAGCCTTTTTAGGGGCAATAACTCAAAGGTACTATTTGTAGGCCACATTGTCTTAATTTAATGGATGGCATCTCTGAAAACTAGTGCACACAGGCAAAGAAAAATTTGAGACAAAAACTATGCTGCTTAACCACAAGAATACAAAGCCGGTACATGAATTTGCGGTAGTGCATAGGGACTTTTTACGACAAGCCGACACATGTTGGCCTTTTGCTGCATTTTTGAGTCGGCCTCGGCACTGTAGGCCCCAGAGGAGGAGGTTTTTTTTTAGAACAGGCGAAAATCAATGTGTGCGTTACGTTAGATGTCATCCATAAAATTAAATCAGTGTGGCCTAAACATTTCAACAAAAATGAAAGAATCACATATTCTGATATTTGAAATTTATTGTCAACGAAGTCTTCTTTGTACAGTCACTTTCGTTATCTATTTCGTCCGCTCGCCCCTTTAATTTTAATTTGAAGTTCAAGAACCAAGAAGTTAACTTAGTGAGGCCTATAAAGTTTAAATGTCCCGCCCAGCTGGTGAGGCGAACTCGCGAGCTGATTGGTCCAACGGCTGGTGCCCACGTGACCAGCCCCAGCTGACAGGAATCAGACGACAACAAGGACGGCCTGAGTTCGGCTGGACATGCGGGCTGTCCGGCACGGCCTGGTGGTCACTCAGGCGCGGCCTGGGGGACACAACCACCTCGGACGGACCCAAGCGATGCTCCTGGGCCTTGGGATACTGCAGATCGTGCTGGGTTGCGCCGTGGTGTCGGTCAGCTTCGCCGCGCTAGCCCTGACCACATACAGTCGTGTCCGGAACGCGTGTCCTTACTGGGCTGGCTTCGCCGTAAGTACTGACCATAGCCTCTACCAGGCACCGCGGATCGCTGTTAGAATAGTAGAAATTGGCCGAAATAAACGGACAGTATACCAGAGAAGACCCGTGGGTCGCGAATCGGAGCTTCTATGGCCCGGGATCTTCTCTGGTATACATTCCTTTATTTCGGCCAATTTCTACAATTTTAACAGCGATCCGCGGTGCCTGGTAGACCAAGTGACCACACACACGATGACCACCAACATCTCTACAACACTACGTAGTCCCAAATGTGTTTTCCATTGACAAAAACATCACAGATATGATATTCTAGCGACTAGCAATGCCCTTTTCCGGGATACAATTTTGCAGAATTTTATCCATAAAATCTTGATCTTTTTAGTCCTTTAAAACGATTTTTCTTCATTAGATTTATTGATGATTTACCCAGCTTTTTGTCCACTTCAGTGTAACACACATGTTTCCTTGTTCCACAGTCCACGACCTCAGTTGAAGAGATTTGCGTTGAGATTTAATATTTTTTTCCAGTAGCGACAGTGGCATAGAACCCACACAATGGCTACCTTATGACTAATATATATGACTGATCCAGTGATGCTGATCCTTTGGGAATACATCTATTTGCATTTTTATGGATCATATGCTAATGTTATAGAGGACTAAGCCAGTTCTCTGCAACTATTGTGCAAATGCTTAGCTGTAAAACTATGGAGGTATTTAATTGCAGAATAAGCATTTCAACAGAATTAGCCTTGATGAGGGAATTATTTAATCTCCAAGCAGATGTTGGAAGGAAAGATTAGTTATTGATTGGGGGAGAGAAAAAATGGCACAAGCTTGTAGTGTCCGTAGTTTGGCCAAGTCACCAGGTCACTCACTCAAACTCTTCTCGATTTGTGTATTGGGTTCTTAAAAAGAAAGATAGCATATTATTTCTGATATTCCATAAAAAACAGAAGAGACCATAGAATAGTGGCCTCTCCCAGGTTTCAGGAGGCGGCTGGAAAGAGTAGAAATTGGGAGCAGCAAACTGTTCTCTCCAGCAGACTAACTCCCTTGGCATGCTATCTCTCTATTTGGCCGATTTCTACTCTTTCCAGCCGCCTCCCAAAGCCTGGTAGAGGCTAATAGAATTGTACATTGGCTATGGACTGCCGAGACAAGTCAAGGCAAGCAACTATTGTGTAATGCACTTCAGTAGCTAAAAACTATGGAGGTATTCAATTGCAGAATTAGCATGTCAACAGGATTAGCCTGTTTTATTCACCCTTAATGACAAAAATTAAATATGAATGAGAAAAGAGATGGACTAGAAAGGTTGGTTTGTTGAGTAACTGTTTTTTGAATTTGCTGATTTAAGGAAACATGGGACAATGTTTGTTGCAAATCTGCATATTATGTTTTTCTGTCATATTACTATTAGAAAAATCTTGTTTAATCAATGGTAGATGGAATTATGTACCCCTTATAATGGTTTAAGTGTTTAGCCCAGAATGTAGCTAGAGGTCCTGGGTTCAAACCCCGGACAGGCCCCAATGTTGTACCCCTGGGAAAGGCAATTTACACTAAAAAATACAAATGTATGTAGTATGGGATGTTCCTGAAAAGCCTTTAAATGTGTAACCCTTGCTTCAGTCAGAATTGTCAGTTTTAGCTTGTGGTAGAATAAAAATTACTCAATTTTGACTTAAGGTATGCTAATTTGATATCAAAAGCAATTAAGTCATACATGTAGTGCATTAATAAGTCATAACACCAATATCAAATGACAATTTCTTGTTCTACAGGCCATGTTGTCAGGTGGTGTCGGCATGATAGCCTGGAAACAGCAGACGTCTCTTGCAGTAAGTACTGTACATTACAGAATAGACAATCACTGTCTGAATTACCCTGGGAGCCAGACTAGTATCAGGTCATTAGCGAGTTAGCTTCGGTAGCCAAAAGCACTACGCTCACCTACAGCTGCATAGTTTCCGTTTAGAACTTTTATTCAGCCTGTTACGACCGGTCTTGCCCTGCAGGTTTTTCATGTATACAGGCTCTAAATTAGCCTCTACCAGGCACCCGGGTACGGCAAACTGTACTCGCTAGTGGACCAACACCCTGGCAATTGTCATCATCTCTTTATTTGGCTGATTTCTAATCTTTCCAGCCGCCTTCCGAAGCCTGGTAGAGGCTAGCTGTAAATAACAAAAGTGCATATCGTGGTATATTTTTACTTCTTTAAAGCCATTTTTTCTCCCCCTCTCACAGGTAAGTTTTTTCACGTTCCTGTCTGCTGTGTGTGTACTGCTACATCTGGTAGCTGCTATCCTGGCTGGACAGAGCACCACACTGTTAGCATCCATGGATGCCTCCTGCGTATCACAGGGCCTGGGCAAGGTTAGTACTAGTACATAACGTAGCTAATGAGTAATGTTACAAGACAATTGTATCTTGACTTAGAGCACTAATTTCTATCACAGGGCTCGTAATACTGGGTGCATGTGCATCTGTAATATAGTGACCCAAATTAATGTGCACCCAAATATTTTCGTAGGTTTACGTAATGATATTTAGTAGTAAAGATGTTAAAATGTATAATAGTATACAGCATATTCATAACATCTAAGTGTCAGAAAAATAATAAAATCATTGTAACAGTACTTTTCGTCAGAAATGAAACATAATAATTATTAACAGCGAGCAGATTATTATTGGAATGAGCAGAGCACTTTGGACTAATCTCTCTGGCTGTTCACAGCTTAGAGGTACATATCCAATATTTTGTCAAAAACATCTCTGTTACATAGCGGATCATAATGACCCCCAGCGGGGGTCTTCACACTTCGTTAAAAATGGAAAAATCTTAGGATTTATTCCAAAGATCTCAATATTTTAGACGAAATCTTGAGATCTTATGAGACAATCTTGAGATTTTTCATGACAATCTCAAGATCTTTAAGAAAATCTTAAGATGAAAATGAAAGGTCTCAAGATCTTTCCAAGTTGTTTTCATAGCATCTCGAGATGCTTTAAAAATCTCAAGATTACTTTATAAATCATGAGATCTTTAAAAAAATCTTGATATTTTTTAAAGCATCTCGAGATGATATGGAAAAATCTCAAGATGGTTTAAAAATATCTTGAAAGATCTTGAGACCTTTCGTTTTCATCTTAAGATTTTCTTAAAGATCTTGAGATTGTCTCATAAGATCTCAAGATTTCGTCTGAAATATTGAGATCTTTGGAATAAATCCTGAGATTTTTCCATTTTTAACGAAGCGTGAAGACTCCCGCTGGGGGTTATTATGATCCGCTATGTAACAGAGATGTTTTTGACAAAATATTGGATATGTACCTCTAAGCTGTGAACAGCCAGAGAGATTAGTCCAAAGTGCTCTGCTCATTCCAATAATAATCTGCTCGCTTAATTACATTTGCTGATACTCTACTTATTGTATCTTACATGTGTATGGTGCACCCCAAACTGCAACCAATTTTTTAGGTTAGCCAAAAATGAATTTCGAGCCCTGTATCAGAATCTAGGAAAGACAGACCTGCGTAGAACATTGAGTTTACTAATTCAGATTCAAACTTTTGAGTAAAAAAAGCACCAAATCAAACCATCAATAGTAGCCAACTATTCAATCACGACATGTTTCATGCTTGTCTGCAGTCCTGCCAGTGCCTGCTAGGTGGTGTGACTGACTGTGCGGGTATCCAGACCCTGCTGTTGGAGCTGATGTCGGCCACCTGTGGGACCAGTGTGGTGTCGTGTCTGGTCAGTGCCATGTCCGTCGCGGTGGGCGGTGTGCACTTCATCAAGAGAGGAGACCACCAAAGGGTGAGACAAACACTCTCCTAGCAATCTTTCAGTTGGGCCACACTAAGTTACTTAATTTTATGGAATGACATCCTCTGAAGACCCCTTAACTAGTGCACACGGGCAAATAAAAAAAGTTCCCACAAAAGAAATGCTGCTAAACCACAGGAATACAAGGCTGGTATTGTGAAATTGTGACTGTTACGGCTAGTCAGAACACCCTGGCCTTTTGGAGCATTTATGAGTCAGCACTGTTACGTGGAGCTTCGCTAGCCTGGGTGCCATCCTCCGTAGTTACCGCTGACTTCATATTGTTGCTAGCTACCATGGACTATGGAGGATGGCACCCAGGCCAGAGCTTTGGAGGAGGTGACTTTTTTTGAGAACATACAAAAATCAATGACTGCAATCCTAGATTCCATTATATTTGTAAAATACAATCCACCAAGATGTCAAAATTTCTCCAAATGGTTTCTTAATTCTTGACTTTGAAGATGAGTAATCTGTTTGCCTGCTATGATTGACAGATGCTGTATGGACACAGTCTGGCCTCACCAGTCCTCCCCACCGACTCGTTACGTACACCTGTGGAAGCACATTTGTAATTTCTCTAAAAAGGTTACTCCCTGACTTACTCCTTGACTTATTAATGAATAATCTGTTTGCCTGCTATGATTGACAGATGCTGTATGGACACAGTCTGGCCTCACCAGTCCTCCCCACCGACTCGTTACGTACACCTATGGAAGACGAGATGTTAGCCATCAACATGGTCCAGCCTGTTCCCCCTCCTCCTTACTCTCCTCCTGGCTGTTACATCTCACAACATGGCATACTCAGGTCAGTGGTGCCTTCAAACTGATAGATAATTGGATGGATGGATGGATGGATGGATGGATGGATGGATGGATGGATGGATGGATGGATGGATGGATGGATGGATGGACGGACGGACGGACGGATGGATGGATGGATAGACGGACGGATGGATGGATGGATGGATGGATGGATGGACGGGTGGATGGATGGATGGATGGATGGATGGATGGATGGATGGATGGATGGATGGATGGATGGATGGATGGGTGGATGGATGGATGGATGGAAACATTAGGGGCAGTGGGTTATTAGATTCTTGGTGTCTAGGGCATGGTTGGTATTGGAGGGCAGAGCCTATCATTGTTTACCTCTCCATATAAAGTCAGGTACCCATTTTACACTTGGTGGAGTGAGGAAAGTCGTGTAAAGTGCCTTTTCCAACAGCATCTAGCCAGGAATACCAGGACTCAAACCGGGCTTTTTAACCCATGTCATTTCGATCTTGTGCACCCCAAGTACAAATGTATGTGACACAATAAGAGATATGAAGTTGCTTTATGTTGTGCCTAGCAAAAAGACTTCTCAGTACAGATACATAATTAGTAAGTCTGTGCCTGATGCGCAATGACTGACCTTGACCTACTACTTGTTTCCCCAGTGAGGACCCCCCTCCTTACTCAGCTGTGGACCCAATGGCCAGAATTACTGAGGTGGACACAAGGTGGACAACTGAGGCACAGTCCTCTGTGGTAGGCTGGCATCACATTTACTTTACCAAGTCAACAAGAATGTGGATGTTGTCATAGACTCAGCCGCGCCAGTTAAATGTTTCAAAATGTTAAAAACATTCGGGGGTTAGTCAGGGGGTTTGACCATGGTTGACTGGTACTAGTTATGTTTATTATGTTTACCGAAGGAAAACATTGTTTTTACTCAGTTTCTTCCTCTTCTTCTCCAAACAGTGCCTATAACCTGACCAATGACATAATTTGTTGACGTCTGTCACCATGGTGACTGGTGTTGGGTTACATAATGTTGCAATTTCAAGGTCTGCTCAGTGCTCCTGTCACCATATACTAGTAGTACATGTATGTGAATGTGGTTGAGAAAGAATTAACAGAACAGACCATGTCTGAAGGTAAACATGTACTTCTCTAGTATGTGACTATAATTCAGCAGAACACCAGCCAACCATTTGGGAGTAATTCAGCATTGTTCCAGGTGTGTTTGGTGGTCTAATTCGACTCAAACTTAACTCAAACTTGCTTCAAATTGACTTGTTTCTGTCATGTATACATAGGATGCTGCTGCCAGGTTGAGCCCCAGTGTAGAAGGGGCCTGTGGAACTCAGGCCGTCTCACATTCCATGTTGGCTGTGTCTCACTCTGGAACTCTGAACAACATGCTGGACAGTCTACAACTAGCCTCCAACTTTACTAGTGGACAGACCTCACCCACCAATAAGGTCAGTGTTCATGTATACAGTATGTAAAGTAAAACTAATTTCTTTGTTATCAAACAGTGGTAAGTAAAAAGGAAATAAGACACCAAAATGGAAACAAAGGGCTGGAATAAAAAACCTTTAATCTGAAAATTTGTAAAATGATATTGATGTTATTTGGTCACCCCCTCTAAATTTTCCCTCAGGTGTAACAACATTTTAAATGAGAGCAAATAAAAGGAAAGGGAATTGTACCTGTTATTGAGAGTGTTTAGTAATACTAAGTCTTGTACATTCTACTGTCCTATGGCAAGGTCAGTACAATGTATTCATGTATCTACATATATTAAGTCAAACCTGTCTATAGTTGAACACTTAAAATCTATCCACTTGCAGTGAATGTCTGTTACCTTGGAATACCGGTATATACATGTACTTAGTGTTGTGGAAAGTGTAAATTTGTGATTGTGTTGTCCACAGGAAGGGGGGACCTGTGAGTCAGCTGAGCTGCAGCGTGCTGTGGATATGAGTCTGGAAAGCGTGCTGCAGGCGTTTCACGAACAGACACAGCAGATGGACAGGAGGACCGACACAAACATCCGACAGGAACCAACCAGGAACTTCAGACTCGTGCCTCAGTTCAGCCTGCCTGATGCAACACCAAGTCCACAGGGCGCTGTTGGGATAGCGTCCTTACAGAGAGACATTTCAGATGCGAATGTGTCACATCATGTGAGCAGGGTCAATCAGGACTTAAAAAACAAGACTCGAGACACAAGTGTGAGCATGGATTCTAGGATACCAGTTCACAGAAGGCAAGAAGAACCTCTCAGAGAAGTTTTACCACATGGAATTCAGGACAGTCATCCAGAGGGCAACAGTAGCAGAAAAAGTAAACCAGAACGACCAAAAACACTCAATCTTTCTGGAAATGCAAAGCTTAGGAAGCAGACTCATAGAAATCACAAAAAGAGACCCAGATCCTTGGTTGACAGTAAAGACCTTAGAGATACAAAAGTCCTGGTTGCCCAGTTTCTAGAGCAGCCCGTAGGAAACCTTCCCCCAGCCGTGCAGATTGTTGTGGAGAACATCAAGTCTGTGATTCAGTCTGATGAGCGACACCTAGCAGAAGTGATGCACAGTGCAAGTGTCCTTCAGGAGGTGGAGGTGCGCCATAATTCCACCTACAGGTACAGCCTGAGCTCCACCAGTTCCAGCAGCCATGTTTCCTCGTCTGGATCCGTTTACAGGACGGTGGAGGTCTCCAGCTCTACTGTCTGTAGGACAGCAGATGTTTCTCCGCCTAGTAGGACAGCTGAGGGTCCAGATGCTGTACACAGGATAGCTGAAGGTCAAGGGTGCTTAGAGACAGCAGAAGACATTTACAGGGAAACTGTGCTGTGACATCAGCCTGGTACTTTTTGTAGGACAGCTGAAGTTCCAGATGCTGTACACAGGACAGCTGAAGGTCAAAGATGTTTAGGAACAGCAGGAGACATTTACAGGGAAACTGTGCTGTGACAGCTGATGTTTGTATGACAGCTGAGGTTGTGTCATGGTTTATAGGACAGCTGAGGTTCCAGATGCTGTACACAGGATAGCAGAAGGTCAAAGATGTTCAGAAACAGCAGAAGACATTTACAGGGAAACTGTGCTGTGACAGCTGATGTGCTGATGTTTCTTTATTGTTTATCGGACAGCAGAGGTTCCTTATGCTATACACAGGACAGCAGTAGGTCAATGGTGTTTTGAGACAGCAGGAGATACAAATGTATCTGCAGGGAAACTGTGCTGTGACAGCTGATGTTTCTGTGTCTACCTGTAGTACTGTATGTACATGTAGAACAGCAGAGGTCCCTGGTTGCTGTACACAGATTAACTGAAGGGCCAGCATGTTTAGAGACTGCATGAGACTTTTACAAAGAAACTGTGCTGTGACTTTGAAATTCAGACTGATACTTCCCCAAGCCTTCAACAGTCAGTCAAAACGTTGTTCACAGCAAACAATTTGAGAACATCTTCCGATCATTCCAGAAAATGGGGAAAAAAACTTCACAGCTTTCAATATATAAAAGATATCATGGTCGTTGTACTGGGACTGGGACATCATACTTGATTTGTTGCATCATCTATCATCTATCTAGAGCAAATTGTATCATTGTAGCTAGCTATCTGGTAGCTTGTACACTGTTCTATATTAATGTTACCTATAAGTATTATAGCTTCATTTATTGCTGTCACAACTTGTACTTTTCGCTGTCATATTTATTCCCTATTGTTGCCATACTATAGTCTGTACATTTTACATTGAATTTGTTTAGCTGTCTGTATATGTGGCAATCCCTGAAACACTATGTACTCCTAAAATATAGTCATATTCTCTCATAATGATACTACATGTAGCTGTAAACTGGCTTAATTTGTTGCAAATTTAAGGTAAAGTTATAATTAGCTAGAAATTGTTACATCAGTGAAACATGCAAACCTCAAAAATTGAAAAGAAATTCGAGAATCTACATCAAATGTTGAAAACTTCTGAAGTTATAAGACCTAGAAATTATCTTGTATATGTACCTTGTGGAATGTGGATTTACTCTGTTCATGACAGCAAAAGATACTTAAATATGTAAGCACGTCGGCAGAACGTATTGCACCTGCGCGAAACCCGTAATGTATTGTACATAGCATTTCGGCAGAATGTCTCATATAAGGTCGTATTCGCTCATATAAGGTAAGCATTTGGACAGTAGTTTCCAAAAGTTGTGTCGGAAAGAATATCCTCTGCAACAGGAAAAATTCTGATGCAACATTGACCAAAAACCCAACGAAAAATGCGAAAATACGGGGTTCTGTGCAGGTGCAGTACGTTCTGCCGACGTGCTAAATATGTATATGTATATCTACAGCAAACATAATTATGTAATATAAATTAAGGAAATCCCTCAAATTCATCTCAATATAAAGGGACAACATCAGGGAAAAGGAGTGGATGTTGAGATGTGACATGTGAGTGCATAGCTAGTTAGTCTTGAAGGATTCATGCAAGAGAAAAGGACCAATTACATGTATGACGATCTATTGATGACAATATACGATTTTGTAATACAGAATTAGAAATCCGTGAGCAATGCTGTTGTGTCGTCATTTAATATGTTTACCTTCGCAGAAGTTAACATATTGGTTTTGCTCAGTTTCTTCCTCTTCTTCTCCAAACATGTAAAAAACGCCAATATTAATAAGTTCAAATTCGCTGGTAGGTCTCTACATAAGACATCGAACCTTGCCCATTTTGTCCAATGTAAATGTTAAAAAATTATTTTATTGGGAAAAAATGAGTGAAAAAACACGTAACTATAAAGCAGCACAGGTGTCGCTGCTATGGATGTGTTCGCAATCATAAAATATTTCCATTTCTCCATATGGTTATATAAGAAGAGTATCTTTATTTAATGACTTACAAACCTGATGAAACTATTCACGGATGTCATCAGTCACCAAATACAAACATTCCGGAATATTTATGCAAATCAAGCCCTAAGTAGAATAATTCATGTATGAAAATGTTCATCTCTACCTAAGTAACGAACATTCTGAGTATTAAATTCCCATCATATACCAGTTATTACAGAAATTTGCCATTAATCAAGCAAATGAGGTCTTGATTTGCATAATTTATATCTGATAATTTTTGCTTCGTCCAAGTTACATATGTCATGAGTTAGAAAGTCCTATTATTTATCAGTCAGTAGATATTAACCTTATAAACTACCTCATTAATTATGCAAGTAAGGCCCCAATTAGCACAATTAATGTGTCATCGCTGCACTTCCAATGAAAGCTGCTAGGGGGACCAAACTTATGTCTCTTCTTCCTTTTTAAAAGTTAGTAGAAATTCTTCAATCAGTGACTGTATTTAAAGGTAAAAACACGTACCTCCAAATTTTCGGTGTCGACTGTACACCTTTCTCAAGGAGTGACCTAGTCTCGCGAGAACACGAGACTAGGTCGAGACTTGTGTCCTTTTTAAAAGCTTTTTAAAAGTGAAAAATTATGATCATCACATGTTCAGAACAGAAGATACAACAGCCGGAAATGCTGTTTCAGTACCAAGGAGGGCCCCAAGAGCAACTGAAAACAAAACCTCCATGACGGAGGTAATAATACAGTACTCTACAAGCAGAGGTTTTGGGTTTAGGGTTATTTTTAGCGTGTTTTTAGGCTTTTTACTGGGGTTTCTCTTTTGCAATGGATTTTTCCCCCACCAAACCCAAACCTCTGCTTGGAGAGTAATAATACAGCAGATTTTCACCCCTATGTTACACATGGTACGTTCCGTCCGTTTGCGCATGCGCATCTAAGTGGGGCAGCTGTCACCGTGTGGTGTGGATGGCTTTGTGGATGTTTCCCCGTTTCCCCAACATTTAGGATAAAATTTCGCCTTTTTGTCAGCAAATTATCCGTGTTAAAGTGTGCAGCTAGCCCGAGGAACGTTTCCAGGGCGGATTTATGCCGTTCTTCGGATGTTTGAGAGAGAAACTGAGTATTTTCTGCCCGGACGACGTTTGGACAAGAACGGCTGTCATGGCGGGAAAGACGGCGTGGTGCTGAGACGACGTAAGAGAACAAACTAGATCTCCTTGAATGTAACCTTACGTTACATGTCTGTATTTCCAACAAACCTGTAGGAAGTTTTTGTGATGTTAGCGGTTAGTGGCGTGTATTTTTAGAACTGACTTCGCCTTTGTCTCCAAATATTACATCGTAGTTTTCATGAGCCGGCCATAATTTGTACTTGGCCACTAAGTTGTTTTCTTGGATAGGATGTCTTTGGAAAACACTGACTGTATTTTTTACCTGTTGAGTGGCATTTTGAGAAGCTATGGGCTAAGTTTCGTGCTGGAAAACTGCCAGAAACTTGACGTTTTTTTGTTGGAAATTTCCACCCTCGTGGCGGCTGAACACCTGAAGGAAATTATGCATGGGTGCATAGTTATTCAAATTTAATATTCCCGCCGAAAATTTCGCATGTGCTCTTTTGTGCACCAAAACTATTAATTTGAAGGTGCATGTTTTATTTTCTGGGAAACCCAAAACTGTTCCTTTTTGATAATTTTATTTTAAAGCCATTCAGCGTTGCCTGGAATATTAGTTTTGGGTATGAGGCCACAGCAAGTAAATTTTATGGATGACTTCAGCGCACTAATTTGTGATGTTCCCTCTGAATCATAACCACTTGTACGATTGAAAGCTTTTATTTTTCAAAGTTGTTTCAGTGAGAAATGGATATTTTAATAGTTGGCAGCAAACTTAGCACAATATAGCCTTTATAGGTATCATTTCTTGTTAAACAAGGTTTATGAATCTGATGTCAAAGACAATATTTGAAAATGTATCAGGAACCTTGTTTTTTTGGCCCACCCTGTTTTTTTTCACCTGCCTTGGTTTGTTTTGCCCTATGGCATTGGGGTCTGCAGAGGATGTCATCCATAAAATTTACTTGCTGTGGCCTAATATAACACTAATTATTCCTTTATATAGTTTGGCGTGTCCTGATATTCCTACCTTGACTGGGAGAAACCTGTGAGTGTGATGATGGGCGTCTTCAGTCCACACCAGAGCAGATGGGAAAACCAGTTAAAAAGGTGAGACAATGTTTTTCAACTTGCATGTTTATTTCATCTCTTAATTGTTAAGAACTACCGGGTATAATGCACAACAAGGATCACAATTTAAACACTTCTTGGCCTAAATACAGTCTACATCTTATTCGAGCAAACAAATACTGTGCAATTTTTTATGGGCATTCAGTGTTGAGTAGAACTGTTCTTTTGCATCACACTAATTGTTGTTTTATATATTTAGGCATGTCCTGAGGGTCAGCTGTCCTGACTGGGAGAAACCTGTGATGACCGGCGACTCCTGTCCAAACCAGATGACTGCATGGGCTCAGCAAAGCTGTTGATTACACGAGACACAGTGGGAAAAGAAGAATTTCTACGAGTAAGTCAGACCCTTATAAATTCGGTGTAAAAAACTAGTGTAGACAGGCAGCATATTGTTGCCCATTTTATGCGTGATCCACATGCGAAAGTCCAACTTACCCAACATGTATGGATTTTACCAACACAAATGAGCTTTGAGTCGTAGGCCAACGGCTGTTTTCAATACACAAACTTTTGTTTCTCTGTCTTCAAGATGACATTGTGGATGATCCGGAGACCGGACTGTAGCAGGATGAAGGACCAGACTTTTGTTGGCAGATCTCAACCTGTGTGAAAGAAGATGGGGAGGTGTGAGTATGTTTTCTTTATTAACACAAAACAACACTCCATATGCACACACTTGCACTCATTTTTCTCTTTTTTCGTGAGGAGCCATTTAACGTTAATTGTAGCCGGCGACTTCAATTCCAAGACAAGAAACACTGAAAAATTGCCAAAATTGTCACTTTGGACCTTTACACTTTAATTCTCCCACCAAAAAACTTAGTACCTTAGCCGAGCCGGCCGCATTAATTCCATGTTTCTTTGTATCGTATGAATGCCAAATTGCCCCCAAAATTGTCGCTTTAGGCCTTTCTAATACACTTAATTTCTCCCGCCAAGAACTTTGTATGTAAGCAGGCCATATCAGTTCCACACTTCTTCCTTGTTAAG